CCAAGGGTCGTGGTATGTCTGAGGGTCGTTAGTCTACCTGAGAGTCTTTGTCCGCCAAAAGTATGGTCCACACTGAGGGACTTGTCGTTGTCTTTCCAAGGGTCCTCGTAAGTCAGAGAGTCATTAGTCCACCTGATGGTCTGATGGTCTCTTTAAGGTTGAGGGTTGATTCTCTGTCTGAGGGTCCCATCCAAGGGGGTTGTAATGTTGTAGCTTGATGGTCGTTGTCTTTCCTGGGTCGTAGTAAGTCTGAGAGTCGTTGTCCTTTGGTTTGCCCAAGGGATGTTTGTCCCGAGGGTCCTTGATATGTCTGAGGTCTTTGTTAGTGTTAAGGTTGTTCCTGGGGTCCAGTAGTGAGTCTTTAGTCCATCTCAGGGTCAATGTAAGTCCCAGGGTTGGCTTTGAAAACATTCAGTCCATTCGGAATTTCAAAACAGGATATACTAGTCTTTCTTTTAAACACCTGGATATATGAAACAGAGTTTGGATGGTCAGTAACGCTCGGTTGTGTGTGTGTGTGGTTGTGTGTGTGTGTGTGTGTGTGTGTGTGGTGTGTGTGTGTGTGTGTGTGTGTGTGTGTGTGTGTGTGTGTGTGTGTCAGGTTGTGTAACTGATGCACTTTTTAGTTTTCTGGATATTTGGTAGATAAACAGGAACTCTGACATCGCTCGGTGTGTTGGAGCTGACTCCTGATCACTGACCCTATTACAGGGTATTCATTAGTGTGTGTGTGTGTGCTGTGGTGTGTGTGTGTGGTGTGTGTGTGTGTTGTGTGTGTTGGTGTGTGTGTGTGGTGTGTGTTGTGTGTGTGTGTGTGTGTGTGTGTGTTGTGTGGTGTGTGTGTGTGTCTGTGTGTTGTGTGTGTGTTGTGTCTGTGTGTCGCCTCTTCAGCTGTTTCTGATGCACGGCCTGTTTTATATTCACAGTTTATTTAGTAACCACTTCAATGAAGCCCTTCAAAATGTGTTCTGCTTCGTATATTATATTATTCACTGCTGGAGTTACTATACTTATATAAATAGTAATATTAAGACCTAAAAATCATATTTTAGGACAGACATTTTAAAAGTTATGGATGAAAGTTTTCAGCCAGGTTTGTTATAAACAGTTATTTATATAATATATGGAATGTCTCCTCTCTGTTGCCAGGCGGATGTTCCCGGTGCTCAGGGTCAGCGTCTCAGGTCTGGACCCCCGCTCCATGTACTCTGTTCTTCTGGACTTCGTCCGGTGGACGGCTGTCGTTGGAAGTTCGTGAACGCGGGAGTGGGTGTCGGGGGCGGGCGGAGGGGCGCGGCCAGGGGGGGGTCTACGTTCACCCCGACTCACCCAACTTTGGGGCGCATTGGATGAAGGGCGCCGTGACCTTCAACAAGGTCAAGCTCACCAACAAGGTCAACGGGGGGGGGGCAGGTGAGGACCCTTTAATTTAACGTTTCTTTGTTTTGTCTTAATACATTCAATTGTAACTTACCTGTTAGGGGGGGGGGGTGAGGACGTTTTTTAGTTTTTTTATTAATACTTTTTTATTTTAAATGTAATTTGTTACTTTCTAATTTTTATTTAACTTTTAGAAATTTAATTAAATTATTCCTCCAATGGGGAATTTTAATTAACTTTCTTTTTGTTGAGCTTTTATCTTAATTTATTTTATTTTCCAGTTAGAATTTTTATTATATTTTAATTAATTGTTTTAATTTATTTAAATTTATATTTAAGTTTATATTTCAATGTATATGAATTCCTTTTTTTGCTCTTTTCTTACTTTGAGTTATTTCCTTTCTGTCCCCCCCCCCCCCCTCTCTAATTAACCACTCCAGTCTCTCTCTCCTTCCTCTTCACCTGCTCGCCCCCTCGTAACCACGGGAACGGTATAAACAGCTCTTTAATTGGCCGGCGGCGGTTTAATGCACTTCCTGTCGAGAGGCCCTCACACACACACACACACACACACACACATACTAACACACGCACTAGAAAAATTGGCAATAGCGTTGTTTATATTTACCCAATATAACACTCACACACACACACACACACACACACACACACACACACACACACACACACACACACACACACACACAACATATGCAGCTGAACAGAGAGCGCGGCCATAATGAAATAATTGCTCAGCTTATTTGTACATTATGGTAATTATGTTTTTTACCGGGAAATTAATTTACCCATCATGCTTCAGATGGATGAGAGGTAAACTATATCCACACACACACACACACACACACACACACACACACACACACACACACACACACACACACACACACACACTCGGGGTCAGCCAGCCTCTCAATCTGAATAGCAAACAGTTTGTTTTTGTGTGCAGAGCTGGGATTGGTTAATTGGCCTCGTTAGTGGGGGGGATAAAAGAGTTTTTTGGGCCGGAGACAAAGATGGCTCCTCTCCACGAACTCTCCTGAAAACAAACAACACACACCTGTTTCCATTCATCGACACACACTCTGCAAACTCCAAACTTTATCAACTGCATCACGGAGCAGCCATTTTAATCATTCTGCCACAGATTCACCTTTATCAATATGTTATATATCAATATGTTTATATATCAATATGTTTATATATCAGTTATATATCAATATGTTTATATATCAATATGTTATATATCAATATATCAATATGTTATATATCAATATGTTATATATCAATATGTTATATATCAATATGTTTATATATCAGTTATATATCAATATGTTTATATATCAATATGTTATATATCAATATATCAATATGTTATATATCAATATGTTTATATATCAATATGTTTATATATCAATATGTTTATATATCAATATGTTATATATCAATATGTTATATATCAATATGTTTATATATCAATATGTTATATATCAATATGTTATATATCAATATGTTTATATATCAATATGTTATATATCAATATGTTATATATCAATATGTTATATATCAATATGTTATATATCAATATGTTTATATATCAATATGTTATATATCAATATGTTAATATATCAATATGTTTATATATCAATATGTTATATATCAATATGTTATATATCAATATGTTATATATCAATATCAATATGTTATATCAATATGTTTATATATCAATATGTTTATATATCAATATGTTTATATATCAATATGTTATATATCAATATGTTATATATCAATATGTTTATATATCAATATGTTATATATCAATATGTTTATATATCAATATATCAATATGTTATAGATCAATATGTTATAGATCAATATGTTTATATATCAATATGTTTACATATCAATATATCAATATGTTATATATCAATATGTTTATATATCAATATGTTTATATATCAATATGTTATATATCAATATGTTTATATATCAATATGTTATATATCAATATGTTTATATATCAATATGTTTATATATCAATATGTTTATATATCAATATGTTTATATATCAATATGTTATATATCAATATGTTATATATCAATATGTTATATATCAATATGTTTTATATATCAATATGTTATAGATCAATATCTTATATATCAATATGTATATCAATATGTTTATATATCAATATGTTATATATCAATATGTTATATATCAATATGTTATATATCAATATGTTATATATCAATATGTTTATATATCAATATGTTATATATCAATATATCAATATGTTATATATCAATATATCAATATGTTATATATCAATATGTTTATATATCAATATGTTATATATCAATATATCAATATGTTATATATCAATATGTTTATATATCAATATGTTTATATATCAATATATCAATATGTTATATATCAATATGTTTATATATCAATATGTTTATATATCAATATGTTATATATCAATATATCAATATGTTATAGATCAATATGTTATAGATCAATATGTTTATATATCAATATGTTATATATCAATATGTTTATATATCAATATGTTATATATCAATATGTTTATATATCAATATATCAATATGTTATAGATCAATATGTTATAGATCAATATGTTTATATATCAATATGTTTATATATCAATATGTTTATATATCAATATGTTATATATCAATATGTTTATATATCAATATGTTTATATATCAATATGTTATAGATCAATATGTTTATATATCAATATGTTATATATCAATATGTTATATATCAATATGTTATATATCAATATGTTATATATCAATATGTTTATATCAATATGTTATATATAAATATGTTATATATCATATGTTTATATATCAATATGTTTTATATCAATATGTTATATATCATATATCAATATGTTATATATCAATATGTTTATATATCAATATGTTATATATCAATATGTTTATATATCAATATGTTATATATCAATATTTTTTTATATCAATATGTTATATATCAATATGTTTATATATCAATATGTTTATATATCAATATGTTATATATCAATATGTTATATATCAATATGTTTATATATCAATATGTTTATATATCAATATGTTATATATCAAATATCAATATGTTATAGATCAATATGTTATAGATCAATATGTTATATATCAATATGTTTTACATATCAATATATCAATATGTTATATATCAATATGTTATATATCAATATGTTTATATATCAATATGTTTATATATCAATATGTTATATATCAATATTTTTTTATATCAATATGTTATATATCAATATGTTTATATATCAATATGTTTACATATCAATATATCAATATGTTATATATCAATATGTTTATATATCAATATGTTTATATATCAATATGTTATATATCAATATGTTATATATCAATATTTTTTTATATCAATATGTTATATATAAATATGTTTATATATCAATATGTTTATATATCAATATGTTATATATCAATATGTTATATATCAATATGTTTATATATCAATATGTTTATATATCTATAACATATTGATATATCAATATGTTTATATATCAATATGTTTATATATCAATATGTTTATATATCAATATGTTATAGATCAATATGTTATAGATCATATATGTTATATATCAATATGTTTAATATCAATCAATATGTTTTATATTATCAATATGTTATATATCAATATGTTATATATCAATATGTTTATATATCATATGTTATATATCAATATATCACTATGTTATATATCACTATATCAATATGTTATATATCAATATGTTATATATCAATATGTTATATATCAATATATCCATATGGTATATATCAATATGTTTATATATCAATATGTTTATATATCATATGTTTATATATCAATATGTTTTATATATCAGATTTGTTTAATATCAATATGTTATATATCAATATCAAATATGTTATATATCAATATGTTTATATATCAATATGTTTATATATCAATATATCAATATGTTATATATCAATATGTTTATATATCAATATGTTTATATATCAATATGTTTATATATCAATATGTTATATATCAATATATCAATATGTTATATATCAATATGTTTATATATCAATATGTTTACATATCAATATATCAATATGTTATATATCAATATGTTTATATATCAATATGTTTATATATCAATATGTTATATATCAATATTTTTTTATATCAATATGTTATATATCAATATGTTTATATATCAATATGTTTATATATCAATATGTTATATATCAATATGTTTATATATCAATATGTTTATATATCAATATGTTATATATTCAATATGTTATATATCAATATGTTTATAATCAATATGTTTATATATCAATATGTTTATATATCAATATGTTATAGATCAATATCTATATATCAATATTTTATATATCAATATGTTTATATATCAATATGTTATATATCAATATGTTATATATCAATATGTTTATATATCAATATGTTATATATCAATATGTTATATATCAATATGTTTATATATCAATATGTTATATATCAATATATCAATATGTTATATATCAATATTTTTTTATATCAATATGTTATATATCAATATGTTTATATATCAATATGTTTATATATCAATATGTTATATATCAATATGTTATATATCAATATGTTTATATATCAATATGTTTATATATCAATATGTTATATATCAATATGTTTATATATCAATATGTTTATATATCAATATGTTTATATATCAATATGTTATAGATCAATATCTTATATATCAATATGTTATATATCAATATGTTTATATATCAATATGTTATATATCAATATGTTATATATCAATATGTTTATATATCAATATGTTATATATCAATATGTTATATATCAATATGTTTATATATCAATATGTTATATATCAATATATCAATATGTTATATATCAATATATCAATATGTTATATA